CCGATACTTTGTTATGCTGCTCCTGCTTGGAACACGGTCACTCAAACTCAACTGCATCAATTACAAGTAGTACAAAACAAATTTCTGCGCATTACTACTGATTCACACTATCTTATCCGCAATAAACTTTTACACAGAGACTTAAAACTTGAGACGATTCCAGATTACATCAGAAGATCTAATGAAAATTCTTCAACAAGCTGTGCAACGTGACTTTGTTAATTACTCCCAAGTCTTTAATTATGAAATTCTCTTCGAAGATAGAAACGTCAGACCACTTGCAGTTCACACCTTCATGGGAGGAGACGACAACTTTTTCACTTAGATCCTCAATTGGTAGCTGTTTATACTTCCAATGCATCTGATTTTGATTGAAGTTCTTCTGTAGCTTGAATATTATTCTTGGAGATTAATAATACTAATGCTGTGAGATTTTTCGCATTGTGATGATGTAGTGGTGTTGTAAATAGGTTGCTTAGGTGTTGTGTTGAATGGCTGTGTGTATTGCGTTGGATAGTAGTATTTAAATTGTGTTGTATAGTTGTTTTGTATTGTGTTGTATTTAGCACTACTGATTGAGGTTGTTTAATTGTATTTGAATTTGTCATTGGAACTATTGCTGTAGTGTATCTTCTCATATTGTTGTCATTGATTTACATTGTCTTGGGTCCTCCTTGAAAGTTACGATCGCTCGTCACGTTTTGCGAACTTGTCCGATTGGATTGTCTTGTTCCTTTTGGTACTTCTCTTCTTCCCCTTATATCCATTTTCTCATCTGAGTTTTTGTCCACGTCCGGATTTCTTTATGTTAAGTGCCCTTGGGCTTTAATTCTGGAACCGGTAACATTGCTCTTCGCAATAGCTCGGTCAATTATAGAGTCTAAGTCTAAGTGCTTTCCCTTTATTCGAAGTTCAGACTTGGTGTGTGAAGGTGCAGTTGCCCCTCGCTCCCTATTTTTTTTAATTCGCTGATTTTCTTGTGTTTTAGTGTATGTGTCATATGTTTGATCAGATAGCCTGGCTCAGTAAAAGTAGGCAGCCAGTGAAACTCTGATTCAAAATCCAGTTACGACCACGTGCAATGCTGATAAGGACCATGTGTTTCTGAGACTCATTTTCCAATGCTTTATTTTCCTTCTTCCCCCCTTTCTAGGAATTTTGTTCTCCTGATGAGAAGGGACCTTTAGCTGCCCACGAAATTGATCGAGTCTTTTAAAATACTTATGCTAAATACAAGGTTGTTATTGCGATTTTGGTTTGTTTTATGTGCTGAGGAAATATTTAACTCCGGAATCTTTGGATAACATTATCACTCAGGTTGTTTTATTTTATGCAATAAATGCATCAATGCACAATTTTATCTCAAAACAGTGAGAATCTTTTTTTTTTTTTTTTTTTTTTCTTTTAGGACAGCCACTAATTTACTCCTGTTTCTTAGACCTGGGCTCAGAGTTCTGCTAGTGTAAACGGAGTTTATGGCTTATGTGAATACCAAATAAGGCTTATCTGAATAACAAATCAGTTGCTATTAATTCAAATAGCTTTTGGCATATGAATATCATTTACAAAATTGATTTTTTTGCATATGAAAAGTTTTGGTACACTTTTGTTATCGGGACCGGATTCAGAAATGTATGTATTACACGTTTGTATAATCCATACACACATGTACACATCCAGTCCCGATAATAGAAAGGTATCGAAAGTTTCGGTAATTTTCTACTTGTCAACACTTCGCAGCATAGTTAGCTAAAGTCTATAATCATTGCGAAGTATAATGTCAACATGAAAGGTTACCATGCAGTTTGGTATTCAATTACTAATATTATTTAAAAAAATGTTATTGCTGCGTGAGTCATTTCTCAAACTGCCATGCATTGATCGTCATGCGGTGATGAAATAAAAAATAATAATAATGATTCGCCAGGTTGGCATCAGAGATATTAATTATTCAGTAGATGTAAAATGAACAATGATTCGATGTAGTGTATGTCTAGGTTTGAGATGTACGTCAACTGAAAAAGCAACTCCTGAGCTAAATTATTGATAATACACATTTATGCTAATAAATGATTGTTTTGGTAATGATTATTTTTACTAATAAATGATTATTATGGTTTGGAGGCCCAGATTTTAGATCATTCTGAATTGAGCTTTCTACTGTATTTCCATTAAGTATATAAGCATTTTTAACTGTTTTGTAACAATGGAATTAATTTGAAATCTATTTCAATGACTAACATTTATTTTTATGTTAATTTTAATTTACATATGCTTAATATCATATTTTCTCCTAACTTTAATTTAAATGGACGTAGTATGTTTACCCAACTAGTTTCACATGTACACTGCGCAAAAAAATGGGGCAGTTCTATATCTCCCATTCTACCCAGCCGATTGACAAAATTCAAATTGCATTTTCCATGTTTCGAAAACGGGACTTAGGATATGTATTAGATTTATATATAGCATTTTACTAATATTTTGACACAAAATCGAGACTTTTTAGACAAAATCAGACCCTGAAATAGCATGCGAATTTTTTCCCTGTATTTCGATTCTATGACTCAAATTATGCCAAACTACCAAGTTTTGTAAAAAATCGCATAAGTAGTTTTTAAAAATTTAGCTCTTAAAATTTTAGCTCTTCAGTGTTAATTGAATTTTACATATATATATTAATACCTCTTTTTATATTAACCCTACTTGATTCATTCTTCCAGAATTCAAAATTTAGGCTTAATCCAAATATAATTCATACGATTTTTATGATTTCTTTTTAAAATTTTCATTTTAAAATATTTTTTATAAATTTTTTGAAACAAATTCTGTACCTGTAAAATTTTTAACATCATCTTAGAGTAGATATATTTCTAGGCACACCCGCAAAAAAATTAGCTTTTTTTATTCAAAATTTTCTAAGGTATACATAAATTTATATATTAGACTGTTTTGGATTTTTTTTTTTTTTTTTTTTTTTTTTTTTTTTTTTTTTTTTTAGCAGCAATAATAATGCCAAAAGATAATATGCACTTTGTTCAAATTACTTGAAACTATGAACGATGACTTTTTTCCGGCTCGTCTATAATGGAAAAAAGCAAAGGAAAATAGGTTAAACTAAAAAGTTTGCCAAGTAAATTATTCTTGGTCAAAACTGAAAAAAATATGGCAAGATAAATTTTTTAATTTCTTCATAAATTTCACAAAATTTAATATTTAGGCATAATTTGAGTCGTGGAATTGAAATATGGAAAAAAATTGGCATGTGAATCAGAAAAAATCCAATTTATGTCTCAAAATACTATGTTAGGATGATGTTATATATAAATCTAATATATATTTTAAGTCACGCTTTCGAGACATGAAAAACGCAATTTGAATTTCGCGAATTGGCCCGGTAAAATGGGAAGTATAGCAATGGTCCTCTTTTTTTTTTTTTTTTTTTTTTTTTTTGCAGTGTACATTCTCTCCTAGTTTTATTTGATATATACTAATTAGCATGTTTAACCAGTTCACTTAAGATATGCTTAATATCATACTTTATGTGCTAACTTTATGCTTAATATTTTTTTTTTTCTGAAGTATAAATTTAATTTACATATGCTTAAAGGCATGTTGTTTTTCCCTGTAAAAATATATTTTAAGGGTGCCCCTTGGCAAAAATTTGTGATTTTTGGCGATTGGCCAGCAGGGCATAATTTCCAAAATAACAAGTCAAAGAATTGCACAAACTCAGTGTCCATGTATACATCGATCTGTTTTCTGTTAAAAAAATAGGAGAATTATGATGTCATATAATGTTAAAACAAAGTTACTCATCACCAAAATTGAACAAAATTTGTTTAATTTTGGTGATGAGTGAAAAAAGCTCAATAAACTGTTTTAAATCATACATTGAAATAACATAAAAAAGGAAATATGTCTTGTTGCATATATGCACTACAAAAAGGAAATAACGACTTACCATATTTAGAAATTTCTGTGTCTTCAGTCTGTGGCACACAAAATTCCTTAACAGCAAACCTAAAAAACAGCATTAAAAAAATTAGCTGAACTAAAATATGCATACTGTTGTCACCACATAAATTGTCAAAAATAAAAGTAAAAAATATCGCCCATAGTGCAGGTGGAATTTCTCCATGAACCTTTCTTGCGACAAATCCATTCAAAGCCATCTGAATGATCTTTATGTTCCACCATATGCATTTCCTTCATACAAACAAGACAATTATAATTACTACTAAGTAAACCTTCATTTACACACCAGCAATTAATGCTTTTTTCCTCCTTTCATTCCAAATCGTACAGAAATTTCACATTAATTTCATTACATGGAGCCATTTTACAGTGTACCGCACAAAATAAGCAATGTATTTCCTAACTGACATCCAATGCAGAAATAAGCTCTTACAAATATTTTCCTATCAGTCAAATTCACTGCAATCATGCAACCAATCACATCATAATAGGGTTTCCATAACATTCAGCTCAGGTTACCATAAATGAAACAACAATTTGACGATAATCCAAGGGGCACCCTAAAATATGGATTAGCTTTTTTCCTAGTTTTAATTCAGACATGCTAAATATCATGCTTTACAAGTTATGTATGCTTTAATATCATGCATTTTCTGCTAGCTTTATGCATACCATAAATTCATGAATTTCTATATAAATTGTTTTGAAAATTAGCTTAATATAATCACATTGACCTATATGCTGCAGCATAAATCTAGTAATTATGGGGAGTTTAAAAACACTGCTGATTAGCTGTTGGTTAGCTTGGCAAGTAAACAGTGCACTGTTGCCATTGTCTTCTCTGTGCTAATAAACTCTTTTATACTGTAATAGTCATAATTATATGTGTGATTGTGTAGATGTTCAAAAATGTGATTATGGGCCTATTTTCTTTAAAATTTTTATAATACCTTTAAAGTAGTATCTTTCAAAATAAAATGTAGATCAAAATTAAAAACATTCATAACACTTTTTTTAATGTTTTTCTACGTTTAGGAAAAGCTGCTCGAGAAATGTATTTTAGAGTCCTGGCTGAAGAAGAAAAAAATTCTGTTATTGTTCTAAATTATGCTCCTGGTCCCCTATTGACTGATATGTTACCCCAAATCTTACACCAAGCATTACCTGAGATAAAGCAGCAGTTTCATGGTATGCCATTTTTTCTTTTAGCCATATTGTGTTCCGAAAGAGATTTAAATTTATTTATAAATTGTTTTTAAAATTATCTTTATGTAATCATTGACCTACATGTTGCAGCAGTTAAATCTAGTGATTACGGGGATGTATATTTTATTATTTTTAATTATGTATCATATGCATTAATTTGAGTAGTATATTAAAAGTTTTAATTCTGTCAGCACTCATTTTGAAGAAAATGGTCAGATATATTTTCAGTTTATTACTGTAAGTACTCAGCAAGGACTGATGTCACTCCAGTTTTGCTGCTAACACAGTGCAGAGGTTCAGATGAGCGTTGGGCCACGGACAGGAGCAGATGTGCTCCGGAAACAAAGCAGACAAGCTTTGGATGCTACAAGATGAATGATCACATTGGCAAATCTTCAGGAGTTTAGGAGGAATGGTAGTCAAAGACAAATTGGCAACATTGATCAGCAGTTGTTTGTGTAAACTTGTACCCGAGGTGTTTAACTCCAAGGATTTCTTAAATCTCTCCCGAAACTGTATATGGATCGCGTAATTCTTGTGAGTTGCCAGCAACTATGTTAATGATATTTTCAAATTCATCATAACATTTTGGTTAATAAAGTAGTATAGTTTATACCTTCATATCTTGCTCTAGTCATCCATACCCCACATTACTCTAGGTAACAGCTCATGAAAAACAAAGATTTGCTTTTTACAGTTAAAATTTTTTGTGAATTAGTCATGAGAAAATAAATGTGCAGATCAGTTGTTCCTTATCATTTGTTTTTGAATACTTAACTTTTCCTGCAGTAATTATTTTTTAAGGGCGAATTGTTGGCAAATGTTAGCAGCAGCAATTTTTTTTTCATTTTGGCAGCTGCGCCTCATACCATCCTTGCTTCAAGAGCTGAAATGTTTATCGAAAGGGAAAATACAAAAACATTACAAAAATAAAACAAACAACCCCCCCCCAAAAAAAGCTTTATTCCGTACAGTGTAGCCACTGGTCACTTGGAATCTGGTGAGTTTTTAATTAAAAATTTGTTACATTTTTCAAAACATCAAATAGACAATAAAACAAATTTGAGCTTTCAGATGCCCGGATTTGGGTGGAGAACTATGTTATTTAAAATTTGATGATTCTAGGTACCATGTTTTCTTCACAGCGCTAGAAACATGCATACATTCATGTAGATTCTTCATTACTTAGTTTCTTTAAATATAATAAATACGTGGTGATAATATTTGGTAGCAACAGTTTGAAAAGTGATACATTGGATTTAAGTGATTCAGTGCAAAATGGTGTTTTGATACTAATAGCCCTTCCGGGCTAATATTCCTTTGGGCTAAAAGCAGAAAAGAACTTTCACCCATAATACCCACCTCCCCCCCCCCAAAAAAAAGGAACAATTGTAATAATATCGAAAACTGAAAACATTGAATTTAAACATAAAAGTTGCATTTGAATTACACACGCATGGGAATAAAAAAGCTACTGTTTCACTTTCCTCAATGAAAATGGAGGGGGGGGGGAAATCTTTTCATGTCATTAAAATTTTTTTAAACATATCCTTTGCTTTCCTTCTTCATATAAATTCAGCCAGATAGGATTCATACCGATGATATACTATTCTTCTTGGATGCCTCTTGTTGAGTCATTTGATGGAAAGAATGACAGGAAGTGTTTGTAATATCAATGGGCTGCTGAAACAATATTTATCAATTGCTTCTGTCTAGTATCAAATTGTTTCTGTTTAGTGAAATGATAAGCTTTTTTATTTTCTTGTAAATATTGTTTTAATGGATTAAAATCCAAAAATTCTTCTTCTGGTCTCTCTTGGTCCCATTCATATAAATTATTTTTCTTATTTTCGTTCACTAATTTTTTTTAGGTTTAAATAAAAGCTTATTTTGTAATAAAAGATTTTCATTTTTTTATTTCTCGCTTTTTAGTCTGAATTACAGGTTATCAATCAAATGATAAATTAAAAAAATCATTTTTCAACAATGCATAATTACAGTTTTATTTCTAAAAATTCTGCTGTTATTTACTGCCTGAGAATAGTCTAGCTTGGGGTTCCAATAACTCATTTATATATCTCTGAGTGGTCACAGAACCTTCTTGAAAGATATGTAGCTAGGTGTGGCCATTTGCGTGATACCTCAACAAACCATTAAACAACAGTCATGGAAACGATATTTCACGGAACCTTCTTAAAAGATATGTAGTTAGGTGTGGCCATTTGCATGATACCTCAACAAACCATTAAACTGTAGTCATGGAAACAAGATATTTCACGGGCAAAGGAAGGCAAATTGCACATTCTTTCCTCACTTATGATCAAAACATGCCTAGAATCACCTCTCAGGGGCTCACTTTTGTGAGTACTGGTGTGGCAATTCCGAGGTACCATAGCCCTTCAGGGGATCATCTTCTTTGTGAGAGGTCACGATCCTGGAGCCCTAGTGATTTATCCTCTCTTTCATCTCCTCTGAGCTGAAACTTTCTTCCTTACCTTCCCCCGTGTGGTTTTCCTCTTCAGAGGTTGGGGCTCGTCACGAGAAACTGAAACAGCCCTTGTCTCTAGTTTTCAAGTGGTGAGAATACTGCCCACGTGTTTGCTATGCATGGAGACCCGTGTCGCTGGAAAGGAGTATCCTGGTAGTTGAGGGGTGAGGTACTGTCCCCAAAACACTGCTTTGGCCTGTGCTTCAGTTAATGGGAGACACTTTGTCATCCTCACATATGTCAATCGGCTGGCCACTAGTCCTTGTGTCAGTGGCTGGGGATAATCTCTCGGGAGTACCTGCTTTGGGAAAGCCGACTGTAGGGCTTCAAGTTTGCGTATAGGTCTGGCTAGCCGTAACACAGGATTCTGTGTTCCCTTGTTGGGTTCCGTGATGGGTGGGTGGTTGGATTATCTTTCAATTATGACTCTTTCAAATTTACAAACTTCAACAGAACACAATTATGCCTCGAAAAAAGTGAAAACAAGGGAAAATGTCAATGCTTTTCAATCCAAGATTCAACCTTATTTTGTTGTAATTAAGATCCAACAGGCAAACTGACAAAAATGTCATCATTTTTAATAAACAAATATGTTCAAGGAATTGATAGAGAACCAAAGTTTATGAAGCGGCTGAGATCTGGTGACCTTTTAATAGAAACCATATCTCCTATTCCGGCTGTAACACTTCTTGGCATAGCCAGACTTTGGAAACCTGGATGTTAGTGCTTCAGCGCACAAAACTCTAAATTACTGTCACAAAGTTATCTCGGAACTAGATCTTCTTTCTGTTTCGGAGGAAGAATTCGTCGCAGAACTCTCCAGTCAGAATGTGATGCTAAGCGGATTAGGATGTGTAAAGAGGGTCAGTTGATAGATACCAAACGTGTCATCCTGACCTTCATTTCGCCTGATCTGCCCCAAAGTGTTAAAGCCAGGTATCTACATTGCCCAGTAAAACCTTACATCCCAAACCCCATGCGATGTTTCCAGTGCCAGCACTTTGGCTACTCCAAAATGTCCTGTCAAAGTAAGTCCACTTGTGCATGTTGCACCGTGGAGGGGCACGACAGTGATAACTGTAACGCTGTGCCACTGTGTCTCAACTTAAGGGGGAACACACAGCATTTTCATGTTCACTTCCATAATGGAAAGCTGAAAAGGAAGTACAGTCATTGAAAGTTACTAGGAGTATCACTCTTTAAAGTTACTAGGAGGTTAGAAAAATTATTGCTAGAAAATAATGAATCAGAAAATTCAAATAAGACAAAACCAATACAGACTAACACAACTAAAAATATATCAGGAAATAGTATCTCAATTAAAAGCATATTAAATAAAAAAATACAACTAAGGAAACCCATTCTAACACAAACAAAAAACAGAATAATAGTCAAAACATTAAACCACAGTCACAGCTCCCTCGAAAGTATGAGCTCAGATTGTAATGATATGAAAGTTGAGGTGGGATTGGAACTTCCAAAAAGTCTCCTTCCGGGACAGACAAAGAAGCAGCATAGGCAAAACAAACATTCATAATGTCCACCTTTATCTCATGAAATTGTCGGGATTTTCACCAGGGTCTCTTGAACATCAAGAACATGATCGATGTTTATCAACCAGTGGAGCTTCGCTTTGCAGAAAACTTTTCTAAAAGCTGAATAACCAAGTCAGGCTTAGGAGGTATTCTTTTACAAGAAAGGACAATGTTGTTAGTGAACGTGTCTGTAGTGGAGCAAACCTTCTCACCTAACATGAATATCTGTCAACTGTCCTTTCGTTAGCAACATAGTTTCAAGTAGTTGCTATACAGGCTGATATTAAAGGATTAGTTTCTGTCGTTTCCATATATCTGGTTGCGAATGAAATTACTGGTGGAGACTAACGGACATAGTCAGCTTTGGGGAAGTAGAGATACAAATCCTCGAGGTAAACAAATTGAGTAGTTGATCGAAAATCATTGCCTTTGTCTCCTCAATAATGGTCAAGGTACCTATTCTCATCAGCCAACAAGGACGTTTCATGCTCTTGATCTTGCCATCTGTTGCCCTTCTGTACAGTTAGTGTTGGAGATGATCCTCACTAGAGCGGCCTATATTTGTAACATTTACAAGAGAAGGAATGAAACTCGTTAAAAGGCCTTCACACTTTATATCTGAAAGGGCTGACTGGGAACTTTTCTCCTCTCTTGTCCAGCTTACAGAAGAAGTTGTGGACAATGTGCCAGTCGAAAATGCAGTGGAAGCCATTACTGACATTATCATCTGAGCGGCTGCAGCCTCTATACCTTTGACCTCTCCAAAGTGTCCAAAATGCTCAAAAGCATGGTGGAACCACGAATGCCAGGAAACTCTGAGAGAGCAAAGAAAAACCTGGGGACATTTTTAAGATGTCCCACTCTATCAAATCTTATTGCTTTCAAAAAGTCAAAGCAAACATGAAAAGTACGATGGCAGAGTAAGAGGGACTCCTGGATATTGCATGTGTCTGAAATAT